GATGATCAGGGGTCTGGAGGCTAAAACATATAAGGAAAGGCTGCTGGAATTGGGTATGTCTAATTCAGAGGTAGGCAACCTTGGCTCTTTTATGACTCACGGACCAACTCCCAGAATTCCTGAGCCAGCCATGCTGAGGGGAAAGGGAGAGGTTTCCAAGCTGAGCCATGCCGGCTCAGGAATTCTGGGAGTTGAAGTCCATGAGTCATAAAAGAGCCAAGGCTGCCTACCCCTGGTCTAGTTTAATGAACAGAAGGACGAGGGGGGGACAGGATAGCAGTGTTCCAATATCTCAGGGGCTGCTCCAAAGAAGAGGGAGTCAAACTATTTTCCAAAGTGCCTGATGGCAGGACAAGAAGCAACGGATGGAAACTAATCAAGGAGAGAAGCAACCTAGAACTAAGAGAAACTTCCTGACAGTTAGAACAATTAACCTGTGGAACAACCTGCTTCCAGAAGTGGTGAATGCTCCAACACTGGAAGTTTTTAAGAAGAGACTGGACAGCCATTTGTCCAAAATGATATAGGGTTTCTTGACTGAGCAGGGGGTTGGACTAAATGACCTCCAAGGTCTCTTCCAACATTATTATTATTAGATGTTACAATGCTGATATGTCAGTCACAACAACACAATGCCGTGATTTCAAAAGCATCATTTCTTCACACATCATCCTAAAGGTTGTTTATAGTGTTGGTTGTTGAAGCCAAAAGCAGGAAAGGGATAAAAAAGTGAAGATCAATGCAAGGGATAAAAACAGAAGGACTGCATGTTAAAGTAACCGACAACCTCGTGTTAAACCTTAGCAACCAGAAAGTAAAGCTATCAGTTGAGTTCAAGGAGATGTCTGCCTTTGTCAGCTCCCAAAGAGCTCCTTTTATTTATTTTTTTCCATCCCACATGCATAAATCCAAACACTGTTTAATGATGATCACATGAAAACATCACATAAGTCAAAATCTTATGATGACTCCTTTCTATTCTTTGTATGCTTCAGTTAATCACACGCTTCTGGTATGGAAAATACAGCATCAGCTCCAATAATTTCAAAATCAAGTTGAGCCTTCACATCCAAGCACAAATGTTTGCAAGCAGCTCTTTCCCACAAAAATGAATCAAAGTAATAGCAGGATGGGCTTGTCTAGAATGGCTGAGCGCCAAAGAATGGAGGCCTTTGAACTATGGGGCTGGAGAAGACTCCTGCGAGTCCCCTGGACTGCAAGGCGATTAAACCGGTCAGTCCTAGAGGAGATCAACCCCGACAGCTCTCTAGAAGGCCAGATCCTGAAGTTGAAACTCAAGTACTTTGGCCACCTAATGAGAAGGAAGGACTCACTGGAGAAGAGCCTAATGCTGGGAAAGATTGAGGGCAATAGAAGAATGGGATGACAGAGAATGAGATGGCTGGATGGAGCCACTGAAGCATTAGGCGTGAGCTTAAATGGACTCCAGAAGATGATAGAGGACAGGAAGGCCTGGAGGAACGTTGTGCATGGGGTTGCGATGGGTCGGACACGACTTCACAACTAACAACAACAACAACGTGAGGCTGTTCCAAATCCTATTGCCAACAGAGCAGATAATTCCAGCCCTAGAGATGTCAATATCCAGATCACTTCATGTGCATCCTCTATCTCCTTCGAAGGATCACCTCTATGTTTGAAGAAAATCAACTTAATAAAGCCTCCTGACTTGGGCCATACATAAACACACACACACACACACTGCTCTGCTGATGGGTAGATTTTTTAAAAAAATCTTTCCATCTGTTCTGCATTGATTTTATCCTAATGTCTTTGAAAATTCTTTTAGTGCTCCAATTTTACATTCAACTAATCTGAATTTTTGGTACACTGAATGTTTGATAGAAATACTAATATCTAAAAAAACTTGAAATATATTCATTTATGAATTTCCTCCCCTCCCCTTCTGTTCAATTGTGTCTTATTCTCAGAGGCTGCCTGCACAGAGAGCCCTGCAGTTTTCTGGGGAAAGTTTTCCACAAGCGGTTTGCCGTTGCCTGCTCTCTTCATCTAAGTACCGATATAGATCCAACTACTGGATTTTTACTCATGTCACTATTGCATGTTTAAAAAGCAAGCAACTCCTACAGGGAGCATCCTGATTAATTAGATTCCTGCCAAGTTCACTTGCCCACATTTTTAAAAGAACCCCACACTTATTTATTTCCAATATTGATACTTTAGTCAGAAAACCAAGATCATGGCATCCAGCCCTCTCAATTCCTGGCAAATAGATGGGGAAGAAATGGAGGTAGTGACCGATTTTATCTTCCTGGGCTCCAAGATCATCGCAGATGGGGACTGCAGCCAAGAAATTAAAAGACGCTTGCTCCTGGGGAGGAAAGCTATGGCAAATCTAGACAGAATACTAAAAAGCAGAGACGTCACCCTGCCAACAAAAGTACGTATAGTCAAGGCCATGGTTTTCCCAGTTGCAATGTATGGATGTGAAAGTTGGACCATAAGAAAGGCTGAGCACCAAAGAATTGAGGCCTTTGAACTCTGGTGCTGGAGAAGACTCCTGCGAGTCCCCTGGACTGCAAGGCAATCAAACCGGTCAGTCCTACAGGAGATCAACCCTGATTGCTCTTTAGAAGGCCAGATCCTGAAATTGAAACTCAAGTACTTTGGCCACCTCATGAGAAGGAAGGACTCCTTGGAGAAGAGCCTAATGCTGGGAGAGATTGAGGGCAATAGAAGAAGGGGACAACAGAGGATGAGGTGGCTGGATGGAGTCACTGAAGCAGCAGGCGTGAGCTTCAATGGACTCCAAAAGATGGCAGAGAACAGGAAGGTCTGGAGGAACATTGTCCATGGGGTTGCGATGGGTCGGACATGACTTCACAACTAACAACAAGGCAAAAGAAAGCAGCTGCTTTTATTCAAGCAAAGAACAGCAAAAAAAATCAACTGCTTGACCCAATTCAACAGGGGAAACCTTTTATCTTTTAGATCAGGCGTGTCAAACTGGATGTATCATAGCGAAACCTCCTTGCTGGCAATGGTAAAAAAGTCGTGTGATACGTTGCGACATGTCACGTGACATTGCGAGTCCGACACCTCGGTTTTAGACAACCATTTCACCTTTCAATTTAGCTTTCAGGAGAAAAACAAAATATCTAGGGGAGAACCCTGGTCTTTTCTGCAAGTGTAATGCAACTGATTACAAACCAAACGGATATCTTCATTTTTTTCAATATTCAGAACAAGCTAAGACATCCGTACCAACTTGCTGCTAAATAACTAGACCCCCAGATGTGGAGTTCCTCCTCTGATTCTGCCCTGGAAAACATTGTTTGATCACAGCTGGAAGTGTATTTCTTATGTAACCCGAGTCAGGAAGCAGCTGTTTCAATGGGCGTCAAAGCCAACTTGTTCCTTCTCCAAGATGCTTGGTGTGTCCTCCACTGACTGAACGCCAAAGGTGAGAGGAGGAAATAAGTTTTTTGACCTCTAATTGGAGGGAAGCGTGTAGTATGGTGTCCCAGGTCTTGGTTCTGGGTCCAGTGCTCTTCAACATCTTCATCAACGATTTGGACGAAGGGATAGATGGGGAACTCATCAAATTTGCAGACAATACTAAGCTGGCAGGAATAGCCAACACTCCAGAAGACAAGCTTAAGTTGAACACTGGGCGCTATCTAACAAAATGAAATTCAATGGTGAAAAAAGCAAGGTTCTACATTTAGGCAAAAAAAACCAAATGTACAGGTACAGTATAGGTGGTACCTTGCTCAATAGTAGTAACTGTGAGAGGGATCTTGGAGTCCTAGTGGACAATCACTTAAATATGAGCCAGCAGTGTGCTGCAGCTGCCAAAAAAGCCAACACAGTGCTAGGCTGCATTAACAGAGGGATAGAATCAAGATCACATGAAGTATTAATACCACTTTACAAGGCCTTAGTAAGGCCACACTTGGAATACTGCATCCGGTTTTGGTCACCACGATGTAAAAAAGATGTTGAGACTCTAGAAAGAGTGCAGAGAAGAGCAACAAAGATGATCAGGGGACTGGAGGCTGAAACATATAAGGAACGGTTACTGGAATTGGGAATGTCTAGTTTAATGAAGAGAAGGACGAGGGGGGACATGATAGCAGTGTTCCAATATCTCAGGGGCTGCCACAAAGAAGAGGAAGTCAAGCTATTCTCCAAAGCGCCTGAAGGCAGGACAAGAAGCAACGGATGGAAACTAACCAAGGAGAGAAGCAACCTAGAACTAAGGAGAAACTTCCTGACAGTTAGAACAATTAACCAGTGGAACAACCTGCCTCCAGAAGCGGTGAATGTTCCAACACTGGAGGCTTTTAAGAATAGACTGGACAGCCATTTGTCTGAAATGGTATAGGGTTTCCTGCCTGAGCAGGGGGTTGGATTAGATGACCTCCAGGGTCTCTTCCAACTTTATTATTATTATTATTATTATTATTATTATTATTATTAGTAGTAGTAGTAGTAGTAAGATTGTTAAATGAATCTGACTTCTCCACTCATCAGAAGGTCTCAAAAGGGGGTCACATGACTCCGGGATGCTGCAATCGTCATAAATATGCCACACGTCTGAATTTTAATCACGTGACCACAAGGATGCTGCAATGGTTTTAAGCGTGACAAACGGGTTTTAAGTCATTTTTTTCCAGTGCCGTTGTAACTTTGAATGGTCACCAAACAAATGTTTGTAAGTTGAGGATTACCTTTATTTAGAGATCAATTTACTCCCGCAGGGATGGAAATGCCACTAAGCTGTTTTTTATGAACTGATGTACAAACGCAGTACACATTTTCCCACAGACAACACAATCCGCGGAGGAACAGTATCGAGGTTTGCGCAAAGTGTCTGAGATTGCACTTTGCATCTTGAAAACAGGTGAAGCTACATGAATGTAGGTTTTCAGGAAATATATCAGATCGGTATGAAGCCTGGGATGTGGCTGCATTCGTGAGGATTTATTCAAATCACAACAAAAAGCAACGCTTACCTTTCTTGGATTTTGCACCAATCTTTAGTTTAGAAGGCCAAGCAATCTGGGTGTTAGTTTCTTCCATAATCTGTCAAAGGACAAGAAATCTTGGCTTAAATTTAAACACATTTGGGTTACAATAGTTCAATAACAAAATCTTTAGTGCAAATCTCAGATTACAACATCAAATATTTCTTCTCTTTTTCCCTTAACATTTACTGTCTCATATTCAGGTTAGTATATTTCTAATTATATCAATTCAATAGGAACATCATTATTACATTTATCAATAAATTTTTAGCTTGTACATATCTTAAATACATTCAATCATCATAAACGTCCATATCCTGTTATTGATTTTTTAACTCAATTTTTAATTTCTTATCAATATTCCAATTTAATTTTTGATATTTATAATTTTCAGACTTTGGGTAACCCAAATTTCCCTTATCTCACTTCATAACAAACTATAATATCCAAGATACATATTTTATCTATTTGAACATAATCTTATTCTATTTCTTAAGAGTTATCTATTTCCCATATTAAATCATCTACTTAATAACATAATATCCCCTTTAATAAATCAAAAACATTATATATATATTGCCAGGGTTAATCAATAAAGCAAACATATTCATAATATTTAACTTTCTTTTCCCTTTTAAGTCTAATTTTTAAATATTAAATGATAAAATCCTTTATTTTCAACTAGTTTCCAAATATCATAAATATTTATAATAACCAAAATTCCCTTTATCTCAACATCTCCCTTTAAACCTGTAATTGGCAATATAAAATCCCCTCTAATGAGTCAAAATCCTAGTTTTTTCAACCTTGTTCTAGCTTTCTTCCTTTGCCAACTATGCTTCCATATCAGCGCCTTTAAATTATCACCCTCTCTTCTTACATATGTCACCGTGTGGCTTTTTAAATATTCAAACGTAAAACTGGAAAACTAATAAAATATTACATTTTTTAAAAAAATGTAAACACATTTGCTGTTTTCCATCAGACAAGGAAACAAGGAGAATTTCCAACAATTCTGAATGCTGCAAAGTTTGCCTTAAAATACCGAAAAGTGGCTTCCCAGAGAAAAGTCTGATTTAACTCCAGTGGGAACGAACCTGATGGATTCTAACATTTTGACTGAAACACAATATCAATATATTTAAAAACTTAGCTTTTAGCTGACTGTTTCCTATTAGCCTCCCAGGCTTCCCTGAATTTGTCATGTTATGCCCTATTTTCTTTTGCCAGCATTTTTCTTAAAAGTTACTCAAAATTAATCAGTAACTGGGCAACGTTCCCCCCCCCCGCAGGCTTATTTTGCTCCTGCTGAATTGTGCTCTGATGCCCAGTTCACAACTTGGCTTTGAAAGAGGGATCTGATCATCAGCTGGTGGGAAAAGTCGCCAGCACTTCATACACACACACACACACACCAAGTCAAATAACAGAATAACAGAGCTGGAAGGGACCTTGGAGGTCATCTAGTCCAACCCCTGCTCAGCAGGAAACCTTATACCATTCCAGACAAGTGCCTATCTAGACTCTTCTTAACAGCCTCTAGTGATGGAGCACCCACAACTTCTGGAGGCAAGGCGTTCCACTGGTTGATTGTTCTCCCTGTCAGGAAATTTCTCCTTAGTTTCTAGGTTGTTTCTCTCCTTGATTAGTCTCCATCCACTGCTTCTCATTCTGCCTTCAGGCACTTTGGAGAGTAGATTGACCCCCTCTTCCTTGTGGCAGCCCTTCAAATATTGGAAAAAGGCCCTGATCCTGAATACGTGGGCAGATGAACAACTGAAAAATTAGATACACCCCAACGAGGGTTTTGTCTACGTGCTGTTGGTCACTAAATGAACGATTGTTAAGTTAACGGCTATCTGTATCTTCCCTCTCCCACTGTCACCATAAGATTAAAACATGAAAAGAAAAGCATAGGGCAGTGATGGCGAATCTTTTAGAGACCAAGTGCCCCAAAACCGCCCCCCATCCCTGTACCCACTCCATGCCCACTGGGTCACCCACCACCTCCATGGCCCACCACAGATCACTCAGGCAGCCCAGCTCCGCCATGGTGGCCACGCCCTCCGCCTGTGCCCTTCAGCATCATCTGTGCACGACGGGACGCAAGGGTGGAGTCTTGTCCCCGCTGCCCGGCTACCATGTCCTTGGCTGCGCTGCTTCACGTGGGCCATGCCCGGGGGCAACTCTCCTCCGGGGGGCTGCTGGTGAGGAGGGGGCCATGGGAGGAGGCGGGGCTGGGGCAACGCTGTGTGTTCCCACAGAGAAGGGTCTGAGTGCTGCCTCTGGCACGCGTGCCATAGGTTCGCCACCACTGGCATAGGGAGTCCCAAACATCAAGAATATTCAAATTACTAAATGCAGCATAAAATAATTAAGTATGTCTTGTTGAATCTCTCCATGAGTCCCTGTTCTGGGTCTACCTCCTTTCTAGCTAACCACTGCATTACCCTTTAGCATTCTGCACAGATAATACCCTACGTTTATTTTCTTGTAGAACATCAGTAAAACAGTAAACAAAGTGAGTGCATCCACTCCTATTTTAGGTAAGAAAATAAGCTTCCATTCTCTGAACTGGAGAAGAAGTCAGTTTCTGTTTCAAGAAACCATGGCTAAAATTAGGATGAAAGAAACGGCATCCTTTGCCGATGTCTTACAGGAAAAATTTGAAAGACAAATACACACGCTGAAAAGTTTATACTTCTTTCTATTGCCTATATCAATAGAATTCCTTGAAGCCACTATTTCCAGAGGATGTGCCATATGGAAAAAGTGAGAAATATCAGCCAGGATTCAAAGCTCTTTGTTTTGAACGGGTTTCAGCAGCCACGGGATAATAAATTGCAGCTGGGAGGCAACGTCAAAACAAGGCAGTTCTATCATGACATACACCTATTCCTAAAAGAGTCCCAAGCACAGTTACGAAATAAGAACAGTAGCAGCATCAGATCTGAATGTTAACTCACACAGGTCGTCCTATTCATTGGGAGGAGAGCTATGGCAAATCTAGGCAGCATATTAAAAAGCAGAGACAAAGGCCAGTCAAAGATATGGCTTTCCCAATAGTAATGTATGGTTGTCAGAGGTGGGCCTATAAGGAAGGCTGAGCGCCGGAAAATGGATGCTTTCGAATTGTGGTGTTGAATGTCCCTTGGACTGCAGGGACATCCAATCAGTCAATGCTAAAGGAAATGATACCTGGCTAGTCTTTGGAAGGACAGACGGTGAAGCTCAAATAGTTTGGCCACCAAATGAAAAGAGGGGATTCATTGGAGAAGACCCTGATGTTGGGGAAGGCGGAAGGCGAAAGGAGAAAGAATGAAATGGTTAGATAATGTCATTGATGCGATGGACATGAATTTGGGCAAACTCCAGGAAACAGAGGAGGACAGGGGAGTCTGGCATTCTGTGGTTCATGGGGTCATGAAGAGTCAGACACAACTTTAGCAACCGAACAATAATTACTACAGGCCCTCTCAATTCCTGGCAAATAGATGGGGAAGAAATGGAGGAAGTGACAGATTTTATTTTCCTGGGCTCCAAAATCACCACAGATGGGGACTGGAGCCAAGAAATTAAAAGACGCTTGCTCCTGGGGAGGAAAGCTATGGCAAATCTAGACAGCAGACTAAAAAGCAGAGACATCACCCTGCCAACAAAAGTGCGTATAGTCCAGGCCATGGTTTTCCCAGTTGCAATGTATGGCTGTGAAAGTTGGACCATAAGAAAGGCTGAGCGCAAAAGAATTGAGGCCTTTGAACTATGGTGCGGGAGAAGACTCCTGCGAGTCCCTTGGACTGCAAGGCGTTCAAACCGGTCAGTCCTAGAAGAGATCAACCCCGACTGCTCTTTAGAAGGCCAGATCCTGAAGTTGAAACTCAAGTACTTTGGCCACCTAATGAGAAGGAAGGACTCACTGGAGAAGAGCCTGATGCTGGGAAAGATGGAGGGCAATAGAAGAAGGGGACGACAGAGAATGAGGTAGCTGGATGGAGTCACTGAAGCAGTAGAAGTGAGCTTGAATGGACTCCAGAAGATGGTAGAGGACAGGAAGACCTGGAGGAACATTGTCCATGGGGTCGCGATGGGTCGGACACGACTTCGCAACTAACAACAACAAAGTATTTTCAGAAGATGGAACTATATGAGTCTCCCAAATTCCAAATTTGGAACTGTCTCAAAAGGAACAATATTCTCTGCTTGACAGAGCTATGAATGAGCAGTTCGGAAATTTGAACCCTCTTGCAAAATCAAAAAATCCTGAACATTAGAAAAGTGGTCCAGGTGTAGGTAAGTCCAGGTAGAAGCTTGAGGCTACTTATGGTTAAAAATCAAACGTGGACTTCGTTCTTGGTGCATTCCTTCTGGACAGGGTTGAGATGGACAACATGGTGGAATACTGATCCCCCCCCAGAGAGTGTCATATTCACAATTTTATGTAGACTAAATCTCGTGCAAAAACAGGTTTAGTATGTGAACACAAGATTAACCTTTAATTTAACTCTGAAAAGGCTAATGAACAGATCTTAGGAACCCCTTGGTTGCTTCCCAGAGGGGGGAATCTAGAAAAATCATTATCTTAAGCAGCTTAGTGGGTGTGTATCGCATTACTCAGCATGCTCAGTAAGACTTACTCTGGCACCCCTGCAGTGTTGAAACTCTAGAGCAGTGGTTCTCAACCTTTTTAATGCCGCGACCCCCAACCGGTCATAAGTCGAGGACTACTCAACTGGTCGTAAGTCGTGGACTACTCAACTGGTGCAGCACCGTTTGCAGAATGGGACTTTTGGCGGGCTCAGCAGGGCAGAGACAGCCTGGACAGTTCCTATTGGCTTTGGAAAGCCAATAGAATTAGACTCTATTCAAGAGAGTCTATTCTATTGGCTTTCAAAAGCCAATAGAATAAAAGGGAGTAGCACAGCTAAGGAAAAGGGGGAAAAAATGGCGGACTGCGTTGTTTGGCGACCCCTGTGAAATGGTCGTTCGACCTCAAATGGGGTCCCGACCCACAGGTTGAGAACCACTGCTCTAGAGATTAGGCTAGTGTTAAAGCGTTCCAAGTAGTATGCTTCTACTGTTCTAAGTCCTAATTCACTCAGCTTCCAAATGAGAAAAGGAAGCAATCAAAATTTTTGCCCCATGTATTGTTCGGGACCACTGCTCTAGAGATTAGGCTAGTGTTAAAGCGTTCCAAGTAGTATGCTTCTACTGTTCTAAGTCCTATTTCACTCAGCTTCCAAATGAGAAAAGGAAGCAATCAAAATTTTTGCCCCATGTATTGTTCGGGATCTCCTCTCCAAATTTTAACAAATGCTCCTTGATTTTCTGACATTCTTGCTGGAGCTACAGGTTGCCTCCGGAAGCTGAGAGCTTCTTGGAACACACCTGGAAATTACGATGGGTTCTACAAATGGCAAAATCTCATTTTAAAAAAGGGAGAGAAGTGGAGAAAAGAACACAAACGCCAAGATTGCGATAGAAAAAAAATGTTTGTTGCTTTCCTGCTTGATAGATGACAGGTAGAAATGATACAAGCCGGTTGGTAAATTAATGGAACGCAGGCAAGGCAGCCAGGTTGTCTCAGGCTGACCAGCACTCAGCACTTAGATCTGCTGGTGCTATCCAGAGCTGTCTCAGCAGGTGGTAACTCTCCGTGTCTGGATTTAGAAGCTAAGCGGGATCTGGCATGGTCAGTTCTTAGATGGGAAGCCAGGGCAGTAGACTAGACTACAAATCCCAAAAACATTACTGGAAGAAGCCGTGGCATGCGAGTTATCTGTCACTGCCAAGAAAACTACAAGAACACACTAAGACTCAGGAGCAAATTGATGGGGAATTTCTCCATCCCATCTTCCCACAACCTAACAGTCTCTCTCTCTCTCACACACACACAAACAGAACTTTTTTGTTAGAAATCTGCAGTTAATGCTACTGCATCTTTAAAAAATATATATCTACATTAGCATCACGTTTCAGGGTAGGCTATGATTAAACTGTTAGAGAACCATCTGTCCATGGCATTTCTGGAAGGAAATCATTACTTCAACTGAAAATGATCCAGTGATTGAATCATATCAGATGCTTGTGTGAATTCATCTAATCAAGCAATGTAAATAGTAGACTATAAAAATTTAGACTATGAGTGGGCTTCTATAGCAATGGTTCTCAACCTTTTCAATGCCGCGACCCCCAACCGGTCGTAAGTCGAGGACTACTCAACCGGTCTTAAGTCGAGGACTACTCAACTGGGGCAGCACCGTTTGCAGACTGGGACTTTTGGCGGGCTCAGCAGGGCAGAGACAGCCTGGACTATTCCTTCTGGCTTTGGAAAGCCAATAGAATTAGACTCTATTCAAGAGAGTCTATTCTATTGGCTTTCAAAAGCCAATAAAATAAAAGGGAGTAGCACAGCTAAGGAAAAGGGGGAAAAAATGGCGGACTGCATTGTTTGACGACCCCCGTGAAATGGTCGTTCGACCCCAAATGGGGTCCCGACCCACAGGTTGAGAACCACTGATCTAAAGGGTCTTCAGGGGCAGCCCCAGGTAGAGCACATTGCGACAGTCCAAAGAGAAGGCGATCAAGGCAAAATTTAGGAATGGGTGTGATTGTTGCACAAAATGGATTTGTATAAAAGCCTTCCCGGTCACATCTGCCACCTGCTCTTCTTCAAGCAAGATTTTATCCAACTCTGCATCCAGTTTTAATTGAAGAATTAAATTGCTGACTCAGGAGTTTTGTTTTTCCCCATTCCTAATTATCTGACAATTCAAATTTAATCACACTTTCAAAATAAGATCTTGGCTGATTCACCCTGCCCTCCTTAGCAACATCTGGAAATAAATGACATTTTTAAATTCCTGGTCATCCTGTCTTCCAAACAAGATGTAGCCATTTTAGTTTCTTATTGCACAACATTCCCAAACTTCCTCCCCCTCACCATTTCAACACCCGTCTTCCAGCCAAGCATGTGATCCTTGTGAGAAAATTTACCATTTAGAAAAATGGTTGAGTTAAGTTAGGGTGACAGTTACTCAAAGCCACAGTATCATCGTTCCTACTATTGCATTCCAGTTTAGAACAGAGTGGGGTTTGGGAGTTGTTTTATTTATTTATTTTTAACCCCATCTTGAATTTTTATTTTACGCAAGAAAAATGTTTTAAGAGATTGAAGGAAAAGAAAGAAATGAGTAAGCTGCGAGCAGTTACTCCAAAGAGCTTTTCTGAAGAGTTTCTCTTTCAGCCACAATATTTTACAGGCTGCCAAAAATGCAAACTTCTGCAAATTTAACATTTTTTTTTCTGCAGTTCACACAAAGATGACAAATGCCTCAGCCTAGCTGTGTCAACCAACCACAAGTCCTGCATCTCTACAATTACTTTTCCTTCCATCCTTAAATAGCCGAGTGGAGAAGGGACAAGAAAAGCAGGAACGTCTGTCTCCAACACGGAATGTCTTCAAATTCAAGCAGAAGCCCATTATTTTAGGGATTTTTCCCAAAACCCTCCCACCCCACCCCCAACCCTTAATTCAGAAGCATCCACACAAAAAAGCAAAACCAACCTAAACCACAAGGACCACATTCTTATATATTAGGAAGCAAGCTAACCATAACAGAAACATAATATTATTTTTCTAAACAAAAGAACATTCCAAAGTCATTACTGGCCAGCATGGAGAGAGAGAGACCTAGAATATTGGGGGCTGGGTCTAGAACAGGGGTAGGCAACCTTGGCTCTTTTATGACTGGTGGACTTCAACTCCCAGAATTCCTGAGCCAGCCATGCTGAGAGGAAAGGGAGAGCTTTCCAAGCTGAGCCAGGAATTCTGGGAATTGAAGCGCACGAGTCATAAAAGAGCCAAGGTTGCCTACCCCGGTCTAGAATCTGGACCATATTGTGGAACTGACCATACATTTAGTAATAGTAATAGTAGTAAAGTTGGAAGGGACCTTAGAGATCATCTAGTCCAACCCCCTGCTCAGGCAGGAAACCCTACATCATTTTGGACAAATGGCTGTCCAGTCTCTTCTTAAAAACTTCCAGTGTTGGAGCATTTACTGCTTCTGGAGGCAGGCTGTTCCACTGATTAATTGTTCTCGCTGTCAGGAAGTTTCTCCTTAGTTCTAGGTTGCTTCTCTCCTTGATTAGTTTCCACCCGTTGTTTCTTGTCCTGCCTTCAGGTGCTTTGGAAAATATTCCCAATCCTAAGATTAGCTAGTTAGCCCCAGAGAAGGTGAAGAGAAGTTACTGTCCTCTATGCAAAGGTAGGAGAAGGCTGGGCTCACGGATCTTAGATCTGGCACAGCCCATCCAATGGCTTTGTATTATTAATGGGAAGGGTTGGTCCTATATGTGTCTGATCTAGTCTAGATTCTCCAAGTATTAAACAAAAACAAGAACTTGTCCATTGTGTTCAGGACTCAACCCAAAAAGCATTTCTAATAGCTGCTGCAGGCACCCCTATGAATGCCACAACAATTCTTACCTTCTGGAAGAAGTCTTCTCCACTTTTCCCCTTTCCTTCAGCAGCAGCTGAAAAGAAAAATGGCACACAATTAATCAGATCTACCACAACATCCTTGTCTTTGTTTACTAACCAATCTAGGGCAATCATGGACATCCCTGTGGAGAACTTCCCAAAGCAGGCTGTTCTGCCAATGAAAATAATGTTGAGGCCGAAGCGCACGATCGAACTGAATATTAAAAGTTTGAGAAATAGCCTAGTATGAAAAACTTTCTCGTATAAATGAGGAGATGATTCTGGTCAATCAACCGTCGTTAAAATTTAGAGAACCCCTTTTCCCCCCAAATGAGAACTTTTTGTCATTTTCTCAGAAAATAAAATGGAACTAAGGGCCCCCAGCTCTGAGTTACACTTCACTGGATCTACCAGATTTCTCACACGGTCCTCGTTTTTAAGATTTTGGAGGTGATTCAAACAGATTTATACTGCTTCTACTGGAAAGAATCCCAAAGCGATTCCCAAGTATAAATATATACTTATAAGCCAAATCTTTAAAAAATGAAGAAAAAAAACCTAGATGGTAAAAAAAAAAACAAGAGAAAAATATAAACAAAAGCAGATTTCCCCCCCCCCACCCCCTCCAGATGCAGAAAAAATATTCAGCTAAAAGATATTACCCCGGGTGCAACCTCAAGGTCAAGGAAGAGCCATCCAGAACTTGACTGCTCCCACAGAGAAGGGCTGACCCACAGAGGCCCCAAGATGGCACCTCGTGGTTTTGAGCACAACCAAACCATCCATCCACTCCTAACAGATGATCCTTGCCTTCTCTATTTCACTAAAACCAGCCATTTTAAAAGGACTCGTGGCTATTTGAAGTATGGCTCACATTTCTTCCACTGTTTTTAATCTTTCTAGCTTCGCAAGGAATCCAAAGAGCTACTTTAAGTGCTTAGTTACAAGCTGTGACATCCATCCTCTGAGACATCAAAGTCTATGCTTTTTTTCTCAGCCGTGTCCTTTTTGTTCGGTATCCTTGAGCTGAGAGCCATCTTGGACCCACCCAGAAAAAGTTCTGCCTCGTTCTCTGGAACCCTGCTTAGAGACCTGATACCGATCTAATGTTTTTCTTTTGACTTTCACCACTGAAGTCTTTGAACTTCCTTCCGCGAAATAAACCAACTCTGTCTACATATTCAGGAAGATCCAGTTACGGATCGCTTGCATAACTTTATTCTTCCACAAAGAGGACATTTGCAAAAGGCGGCCCTCCATCACCTCGGCTTGAAAGTGAAATTAAAACTAAATAGAATGCACTGTTTTGTTTTTTTTGTTGTTGTTGTTTTTGTAAAAAGACATTGTTGTGATTTTCAGTCCCCAGTACTTAAGCTAATTAGAGGTTAGGAAGCTTTAATTTCTTTCTGTGTGGGAAAATCCGTTTTTGCCAGACCGAAAGAAAAAAATAAACACAAAAACGCTGTGTTGTTGAGGCAGCACGGTAGCCTCGGACATTCTCACAAGATCAAGACCACAAGCCCCACCTTCTTTGGACATCTAAAATCAATTGTTGTTGGGTTTTTTAAAGAAAAAAAGATGGTGGGTGGATGGATTGATCTGTTGCATAGCATGTTGTCTACCTCCCTGGTCATCCCTCTTCCCAAGAACAACTCCGGGTCCCATAATGTCTCTTGGAAAAATGGATGACTGCAGTGCAGTGGGGTTTGGGGTGGGGTGAGGTTATTTTTTCTGCTGGCCAGGAGAAGAATTTCTAAGAAGCAGAAAGGAAAGAAAGAGCAGAGAACATGGGGGGGGGGACAAATCTTTGTCTCTTGTTATCAATCCTGACTGCTCTTTAGAAGGTCAGATCCTGAAGTTGAAACTCAAGTACTTTGGCCACCTAATGAGAAGGAAGGACTCACTGGAGAAGAGCCTAATGCTGGGAAAGATGGAGGGCAAGAGAAGAAGGGGACGACAGAGAATGAGGTGGCTGGATGGAGTCACTGAAGCAGTAGGTGTGAACTTAAATGGACTCCAGAAGATGGTAGAGGACAGGAAGGCCTGGAGAAACGTGGTCCATGGGGTCGCGATGGATCGGACATGACTTCGCAACTAACAACAACAAAGAATTCCTATTCTATTCTATTCTATTCTATTCTATTCTATTCTATTCTATTCTATTCTATTCTATTCTATTCTATTCTATTCTGGGAAAGATGGAGGGCAAGAGAAGAAGGGGACGGCAGAGAATGAGGTGGCTGGATGGAGTCACTGAAGCAGTAGGCCTGAGCTTAAATGTACTCCAGAAGATGGCAGAGGACAGGAAGGCCTGGAGAAACGTGGTCCATGGGGTCGCGATGGATCGGACATGACTTCGCAACTAACAACAACAAAGAATTCCTATTCTATTCTATTCTATTCTATTCTATTCTATTCTATTCTGGGAAAGATGGAGGGCAAGAGAAGAAGGGGACGGCAGAGAATGAGGTGGCTGGATGGAGTCACTGAAGCAGTAGGCATGAGCTTGAATGGACTCCAGAAGATGGCAGAGGACAGGAAGGCCTGGAGGAACATTGTCCATGGGGTCGCGGTGGACTGGACACAACTTCGCAACTAACAACAACGTCTCTTAAAGCAACAGTTCTGTTGCATGCACAAACACACAACTGAGGCACCCACACAGAGAGCGAGCAACTGTTTTGCAAAAGAGCCACAAAACTAGGGAGGGGCTATATCACACATCTTAAAACTGAAAAATCAAAATGAAAAAAAAAAAAACAACTTTAAAAGCAAAGAAGCCATTTCAGGTTTTAAACCCCACCAGGGGAGAAGTTAACAAACCAGAAGAGTGCTGGAAAAATACTGGGGTTTTCTGGGCAGCGATACTGATTCTTGCAGAGCTGGAGATAGTGGGTGTTTTCTAACCTGAAAAGGTATTCTTGTTTTTCCAAAATACACTCCTGGATTCCACAAAGAAATAATTGGGAAACTAATTTCTTTAGAACAGTGGTTCTCAACCTGTGGGTCGGGACCCCATTTGGGGTCGAACGACCATTTCACGGGGGTCGCCAAACAACGCAGTCCGCCATTTTTTTCCCCTTTTCCTTAGCTGTGCTACTCCCTTTTATTCTATTGGCTTTTGAAAGCCAATAGAATAGACTCTCTTGAATAGAGTCTAATTCTATTGGCTTTCAAAAGCCAATAGGAATTGTCCAGGCTGTCTCTGCCCTGCTGAGCCCGCCAAAAGTCCCATTCTGCAAACGGTGCTGCACCAGTTGAGTAGCCGTCGACTTACAACCGGTTGAGTAGTCCTCAACTTACGACCGGTTGGGGGTCGCGGCATGAAAAAGGTTGAGAACCACTGCTTTAGAAGAAAACCAGCACAGGGTTAATAATCAGAATAGCGTTGATATAGAGGACTGACACCAAAATGATGATGATGATGATGATGATGATGATGATGATGGTGGTGGTGGTGGTGGTGGTGGTGGTGGTGGTGGAAGGGACCTTGGAGGTCATCTAGTCCAAATATTTAGTACCTATTAACCTGTAACTTATTCTTCGTTTATCTAAGGATAGTTGAGTTGATCACATTTAGGAAGTCAAATGACCAATTAAGTCTCAGCTAGCAAGTTGGGATCAAAGTTCAAATCACTAGGGGTGATATGATAGCAGTCTTCACAAAGAAGAGGGAGTCAACTTATTTTCCAAAGCACTTGAAGGCAGAACAAGAAGCAACGGATGGAAACTAACCAAAGAGAGAAGCAACCTAGAACTAAGGAGAAATTTCCTGGCAGTGAAAACAATTAACCAGGGGAACTGCCTGCCTCCAGAAGTTGTGGGTGCTCCAATACTGAAAGTTTTTAAGGAGAGACTGGACAACCTTTGTCTGAAATAGTATAAGGTCTCCTGCTTGAGCAGATGGTTGGACTAGATGACCTCCAAGATCCTTTTCAACTCTGTTCATCTGTGTGAAGAACTTTCCAAATACTATAGAGGTGTTAGGTTTCCCAAATTAAAAAGAAAACTAAATAAAAAGAGAAAGAAAATAAAGGTTGTTGATTCTATAAACAGAAGATGATATGGCAGGATGATTCTCTGCCTGCAGCCATTTTTAACCAAAACATCTTTCAACTCTCGTCATCTTGGCTCGTGAAAGCAGTCAGAATTGGACTGATAGAGGATGGAGGAAAAGTGTTTCACTAATTATTATTATTAATTTTATTTATTTTATTAAATTTACCTGCCTCCCATCTCGTTTTGAAGCGACTCTGGGCAGCTTACAGCATAAAAATATTAAAATAATCAAAGGCAAATATTTCTAACACAATGAAATGGAAGTACAATCAAAGTAAAACCATAGTTACAAGATAGGGAAGGTGGGGTGGGGATTGGGTCTTAATTAGTCAATGTCTAGTGTGCTACTCTACCACTGGAGCCCCATGCCATCTGGTACTCATAGAGAAGGTCTTTAAATTTGTGTAAGTTTTAGAAGGAAGTTGATAACATAGATATATTTCAACCCAAGCCTTGACTAGTCTTGACTCTGAATGATGGATCTTCACCAAGGACCAAACTGGGAAGTATCTCGTTCTTGGTTCTGCTTGTTGTCTAGGGCATCTTTCAAAAGAAACCACCAAATGTGGTGTTTTTAGTTAGATTTTGGGTGTAGCCCTCAGCCAGGATACGGTGAATGTATTCTCTTGAAGGTTCCCCTCATTAGAACACAGTTTTTGGCAAATCTGGGGTGCTCTAGACCCGGGGGATCTTTCTTGCTTCACCAGGCTGGCTGGTACAAAGTTTCAGCCTCCCTCAAGTGTTTTCCTTGCATGAGAAGAGAAGAAGAGAAGAGAAGAGAAGAGAAGAGAAGGGAAGAGAAGACCGCTGGATTTCTGTGTAATGAACAGAACCTCTCCAAAGAATTCACAAGTTAGCAAAATCTGACCCAGCTAATGAGCAGAGGTTTTTTTTTCTCACGTTATGAAAATATACATGTTCTGGTTAACTTCTGAAATTTAATAGACTGAGCCTTTTCCCACTACAATATTTATAAAGATTATCAGACCATTTA